TCTGTCTGTCTGTTCGTCAGTCTAATAAATACGGCATAATCTAGCCATCTTCACCTGGGTGGTGTTCACAGGCATGGGCGTGAATGTTGCCTGACTCATGGTAACAGTGGGTCCCAAAAGGTCTCTGGCTGAGGTCTGGTGTTGACAGGGCTCAAGTTTCAGTTTCTCTCTTGGCAACACGGCCTCAAAGCAAGGAGCATAACCTGGCGGTGGGAGGAACTTAAACTCTCCGTGGCGACCCCCAAGAAGGAAACGAAGCCTATACAAAAGACAAGGAACAAGTGAGCAGGTAAAGGATTGTGATTGTGGGTGATTTGCTTTGATTAATGCACTGACTTAACTCCAGCAGAGAAGCTGGCCACGGGGAAAAAGAGGCCATCAGAGTTGAAGTTCTCAAACATGCCCTGAACTGGTTGACCATTGATCCTGAAGGAGATACTGGGCACACTAAGGTCCAAGCAGCAGCTCACCACATCGTCTGCTTTCAGAAGGTGCTGATTGGGTGAGCTAACTGTCTTTGCAATACAGCCTGCAAAAAAAAGTTACATCAAAGATATGACTACATCCTGTGCATCAGCGGTCCCCATTGAATGACACCCATGCACTACTCTGAGACTGTGTGTGCTCGGAGAGGCAGAGAGCGATCCCTTTTCATGAATTTCCAAACGCAGCTTCAGCAGTCAGCATCTTGTGCTTGAACCGTTTCCTTTCACATTAACCCCAACTCTAACTTTCAATGATGACAGGATTAAAGTACGAATAGTGGATTTGCTTTGATTAATGCACTGACTTAACTCCAGCAGAGAAGCTGGCCACGGGGAAAAAGAGGCCATCAGAGTTGAAGTTCTCAAACATGCCCTGAACTGGTTGACCATTGATCCTGAAGGAGATACTGGGCACACTAAGGTCCAAGCAGCAGCTCACCACATCGTCTGCTTTCAGAAGGTGCTGATTGGGTGAGCTAACTGTCTTTGCAATACAGCCTGCAAAAAAAAGTTACATCAAAGATATGACTACATCCTGTGCATCAGCGGTTCCCATTGAATGACACCCATGCACTACTCTGAGAGTGTGTGTGCTCAGATAGGCAGAGAGCGATCCCTTTTCATGAATTTTCAAACGCAGCTTCAGCAGTCAGCAGCTTGTGCTTGAACCGTTTCCTTTCACATTAACCCCAACTCTAACTTTCAATGATGACAGGATTAAAGTACGAATAGTGAGCCGTGATGGTCATCACGATCATGAACCATGTATTTATTTTGCTACTCGATCTTTTTATCTTGTACAACAATGTTCGAACAAGCCGCACCTGACCAAAGATGGAGTCCATCAAAGCCAAAGGAATAGAGGTCATCACCCACTCCATTTCCGCCCCAACCTTCCCCACCGCTGGGGGAGGGCACATAACCATTGGTGTTGGCCCAGCCCACTCTGAGGTGAGATGCCTCAGCTGTGACGAATGGCAGCGCTTGGTCTACAATCAGCTCATAGTACCACTTCTTATACTGCGCAGAGCCTTCACTAACACCCAGAAAGATATTAGGGCAAATGCTGAAATGAGAGGAAAAAGGAATTTTGTCACTCATCAGCTCAAACAATGACAAGCTAGAGTGAACGCTATCACACAGTTGATATCTTTATACCTGCTTACGTAATTCATCAGGCGTGTCTGAAGCAACAAGTCTCTTCCCGGCAGCAGGTTGTCACAGATCAGGTGCTGGTTTGAGCGTACTGCCACACCGTGACACACACAAAGGGAACACAACACATCAAGAACCTACACAGCATGCACATACAGAAAGGATGTCAGAACACATCACTGATACAGGACCACACTTGCCAATACCAACAAACATGCTGAACATCAGAAATCCTGGTTGATAGATTTGGTTGTAAATAATAATAAAAATAAAATACTCTGCGGATGAATATCAGATCCCAAATTCATAACTGTAACTGAATGCCGGCGAATATTGCGCCTTGCATTCGACTGTTTAGAACCACATACCTTGTGGTTGCGTCCATGTTTGTCCAGAAGCGAAATTATGGATTTGATATGTCCCTCTTTGATAAGGTTCAGTGCTTCAGGACTCTCCACCAGCACACAGTGAAGAACCTCCAGTATGCCTGAATGAAAATTTGCATTTGGTGTTAAAACAAAAACAAACAATAACAACAACAACAACGAAAGAGAGGAATTTATATTCATTATTTCTATCTCAAAAAAATCGGATAAAATGAGAAAAAAATGACGATCAATCACAGATGGCAGCACAGTGAACAAGTGGGGTTGGTATGTCAGCCTGGCAGTTAAAAGGTTGTGGCCTGTCTCTTAGTCAGCTGGGATAAGCCATTTTCACACTGCACTTAGTAGCACATGGACCACAAAAGGTATGACATACAGTGACTCATTAATTACAGATGCACTCATTTTCTTTTCTGCTGCTGCCCTCCTCCTCCTTTTCTTCTCTGACCAGCAAGGATCTGTAAAGCATCCTCGGCTGTCCTGAAAGGCGCTATTTAATCAAATTTATAAATACTATTTCAAGGCTTTCTTTTTCAATAATGAAAGATGCTCTTGTTGAGTTTACATCAAAACCAACGGCAAAAGTATCCATGTCTAGTTCCTGTTTGGCTGCTACGTCAGCATTTCCAAATATGTCCACCCTGTCGCCGCCATCGTCTTTCCACCCTCTCACACTGAGTGAGTGCTCTGTGAAGTTGCTGATTTTTCCTTGATTTTTCCTCTTTTGTGCAACTCTTATTAGCCTTTAGGCCACTGGTGTCAAAGTCAAGGCCCAGGGGTCAGATCCGGCCCGCCACATCATTTTATGTGGCCCGCGAAAGCAAATCATGTACGTCCACTTCCTCAACTTCCATTATCCTTGCTAAAATTTGCACCAAAATGTCAAATTGTTACGTATAATAAATGATGTTGAGATTTTTGTGATAATTTTGTTACCCTATCAACACTCACTCAACAAGTAATTGAACAAACTATTATAGTTGACTGGTTTCAAAACCGGTATTCCATCAATTAGTTGTGTACAAGTAATAATATCTAAACATTTATTCAGTTTCACGGTTGTACCGGCCCATCGAAGGGAAGATGTAACCCCAAAGCGAACCGCGACAAAAATGAGTCTGACACTCCTGCTTTAGACTTAGCTTTATAGATGAAAGATGCCACGAAAAAACACTGGTGGCATTGCGTACTTTCCCCAACTTCCAATCACATTGTATAGCACTCATCATTACAAGGATCTGTAAAGCATCCTCGGCTGTCCTGAAAGGCGCTATTTAATCAAATTTATAAATACTATTTCAAGGCTTTCATTTTCAATAATGAAAGCTGCATCTTGTTTAGTTTACATCTAAACCAATGGCAAAAGTATCCCTGTCTAGTTCCTGTTTGGCTGCTACGTCAGCATTTCCAAATATGTCCACCCTGTCGCCGCCATCGTCTTTCCACCCTCTCACACTGAGTGAGTGCTCTGTGAAGTTGCTGATTTTTCCTTGATTTTTCCTCTTTTGTGCAACTCTTATTAGCCTTTAGGCCACTGGTGTCAAAGTCAAGGCCCAGGGGTCAGATCCGGCCCGCCACATCATTTTATGTGGCCCGCGAAAGCAAATCATGTACGTCAACTTCCATTATCCTTGCTAAAATTTGCACCAAAATGTCAAATTGTTATGTATCATAAATAATGTTGAGATTTTTGTGATAATTTTGTGACCCTATCAACACTCACTCCAACGGTAATTGAACAAACTATTATAGTTGACTGGCTTCAAAACGGGTATTCCATCAATTAGTTGTGTACAAGTAATAATATCTAAACATGTATTCAGTTTCACGGTTGTACCGGCCCATCGAAGGGAAGATGTAACCCCAAAGCGAACCGCGACAAAAATGAGTCTGACACTCCTGCTTTAGACTTAGCTTTATAGATGAAAGATGCCACGAAAAAACACTGGTGGCATTGCGTACTTTCCCCAACTTCCAATCACATTGTATAGCACTCATCATTGGCACCATGGATCCAGATAGTGAGGCTCTTATCAAAGTCTTGCCAACGTACCAGAGGAGGCCTCCAGTCTCTCCAGTCTGCTGATGAGCCAGTCTAAGGACCCCGAAAACTGAGCGCAGTTTTTTCTGTTACCCCTGATGAGTGCAGCTAAAAGGGACAAGAGTGAGCAGGAAATGAGAGTCAATATTGCCAGGCACGGACGGCACCCACATCCATGTGTGCATACCCAGCAGTTGATAGAGAGAGTTAAGGCTGGAGCTCCAGGCCGCTCCTGCCTCCCTTCCAGCTGCTTCTGTGAAATGGGCTGCACTGCTGTAGACGTGGAGTCGATCAATGCACTCCAGAACCAGGGCGATCATTCCCTACAGACACAAAGGGTGGCTTATTCAGCTAATTCTCTTGATGGTGAGACTAAATGCAGTCAAATCTAAAAAAGCCACTTAGCTCCTTATCAATATAAATTGTATTATAACAAAGTATAGTATCAAATGAATTGATTAATGAATCATTCTTACAGTGCATCAAGTAACATAAAATTCGTTCGAAGGCCACTTTTGAATTATGTATATTGCTTTTTGAATGATTCATATTTTACATTGATGTTACGGAATCCTGCTATGAACCATGCTCCAACTTTTAAGTTAGCCGTGATGCATCATCATATCCAGTTAATTTCATCATAAATCCATTTTATTTTTGTTATCATTAATGCCATTGTAAATGTGGGAAAATACAATTTTCTTTGTATTGGTCAATAACATCACTCAACATAAGCCCCCCCCCCCAACCCCCCGTGCCAGGCACGGACGGCACCCACATCAATGTGTGCATACCCAGCAGTTGATAGAGAGAGTTAAGGCTGGAGCTCCAGGCCGCTCCTGCCTCCCTTCCAGCTGCTTCTGTGAAATGGGCTGCACTGCTGTAGACGTGGAGTCGATCAATGCACTCCAGAACCAGGGCGATCATTCCCTACAGACACAAAGGGTGGCTTATTCAGCTAATTCTCTTGATGGTGAGACTAAATGCAGTCATATCTAAAAAAGCCACTTAGCTCCCGTATCAATATAAATTGTATTAAAACAAAGTATAGTATCAAATAAATTGATTAATGAATCATTCGTTCGAAGGCCACTTTTGAATCATGTATCTTGCTTTTTGAATGATTCATATTTTACATTGATGTTACGGAATCCTGCTATGAACCATGCTCCAACTTTTAAGTTAGCCGTGATGCATCATCATATCCAGTTAATTTCATCATAAATCCATTTTATTTTTGTTATCATTAACGCCATTGTAAATATGTGAAAATACAATTTTCTTTGTATTGGTCAATAACATCACTCAACATAAGCCCCCCCCCCCCTCAAAAAATAAAAATTAAACGGGTCAGTCTGACTCACAATAGATGCCATGAGCCAATTAATCTCCAGGTGTATAATAAATAAATGGCACACTCCAAATAGACCAAGACCCAAGTAGTATTTACAAATATATTTGATTTATATTTATTTTGATGTGGCAATGTGTCTTTGAATTTAAAAACTGCACTGTAGTATTCCAGAAAAAAAAACTAATCACACTCCCCTTCTTTCCACCACAGCCCGGGACGCCTGGTAAATAAACAAATGAGCAAAATACAGTAAACTGGGACTCCTTTGTCTCTCTCAAAGCATAAATCTGGAATAGGGCTAATTGGTTATTTAGAGAAAACCAAACTAGAATGGACTATAAAATTTCATCATGTTTTATAAAATCCCTTTTGCGGTGTGCTTGTCTCACACACTCACACACACACTCATATCACCTCTTCTTGGAAGAGGTTCTGTCTGTTTTTCAAAGCTCTGAGGAGATTCTGCTTGTCTTCGTGTTCTAGGTGATCGTCAGGTGGCTGGAAGTAGCCAATGAGATCTTGAAGACTCAAGCTGATTAAGTCGATTGGTACATCAAAAGTTGTGCTCTTTCCTTTTGCTCTTAATGTATCGAGACTCCTGTGAATAACAATGAACAAATTAGGAAATTGTTTGATAACGGTTCGCAGACCTGAAAAAGGTGAAATGATGTTCAACAATGATCACAGAAAATATCAGCAAAGTATGAAAACAATGTACAGTGAAACTCCTCTACAATGAAATCATGGTTGCAGCAAGAAATTTTTCACAACAGGGGACTTTTCACTGTAGCAAATTTTATCTCAGACGTAAACACAAACACACACAAAAAACGTATATGTGTACTTTTTATTTTTATTCCAATAGTGCATATGAGCATGCACTTATTTGACACTTGATAGAGCCAGCATAGAAAGAAAAAAAGGGAAAGAAATTGCGAAATTTGTGATCAGCATTTACTTTCACTTCCATCAATTTCTTGCATAATGTCTTTTATCTTGCCTCCTCCATCTTTCAGTTTTATTACCTTTATCCTGTCTTCAAGCGTTAAAGCTTTTCTTAACTCCTTGTTATGCAAAGGTACGTTTTGTCGCCATTTTAGCAATGCAACGTTATTGCTGCGTCTGAAACAAATACTTCCTGTACTACTGCGCATGTGTAAACAAGTGTTGTTTGTGGTTGCTGTTGCTGTTTCCGAATGAAGCGGTCGAGGTCGCTGTGGCATGCTGAGGTTGGATTAGACTTTTGCGGAAGGCTTGTTTTCATTGTACTGAATCTCGTTGCGAGGCAAGAGCAGAGATGAAGATTTGGTTCACGGAACAGGGGGACTTTTTGTTGTTGGGGGAGCAGAAAAGTAGGAATGGCTTTCATGCATGAAAATTTTTTTCCACACTAGGGGGTATTTTCGCCCATGTCGGTTTCGTTGTAGAGGAGTTTCACTGTAGTACTGAATTCAGCTGCCAGAGATGTGGTAGGGCGGCCAGTCAGTAGTCAAGTTATCTCCTCACCAATGAGTCTAAATTGGCTTGTGTGATAATTTTATGATGATCATAAACGCCAGCTGAATTTCCAACTGGCCGTGTAGGTCAACGGCGGTCACTGTGAGCCCAGGCCACGGTCTGTTTTGGAATCCTTTGGCTCAATGATCATAACTGTTTGGCAAAGTTTTAAGCTGGATGCCCTTCCTGAAGCTACCTTCTGCGGGCCGATAGTTGGCACTAGCTTGTGGTTAATGGCAGCTCTTCAGGCAGCATGGTGCTAATTCTGGCTGACAAGTTTCACTTAAATATATCCAACAATTGCTCGGGCAGGCCAAAATTCAAAGACATCAGTGGGTCAAAATCATGCCGATACTTTCCCTAAAAAAGATAATTGGTGAGAAGAGCAGTGTGGGCAGTAGTCTAGGTTTTTAGTATGTTTATTATTTAATAGGGAGGCTTTTAGAGGCATTTGAAGAGCTCATTCCATTTTTTTTTTTTACTCCACAAATATGTCCCCCTGTCGTTTTGCGAGTTAAAGAGTAGGCAGCATCAGCAATCATCCATCCATTTTCTTATGAGGGTCGCAAACATGCGAACTTGGCAAAGGAAGGCCAGAGCCGAAATCGAACCTTGCACCATGCTGACCAGTCGACCACCATGCCGCCCGCAGCAATCATTCACTCTTCAATTTAAATTTTCATCTTAATAAATTTGACAGCCCAAAACATGGTTTAAGCAAATCTTTCAACACACAATTTTTTTTTTACTTAATTCTTGCAGAAATGAAAATCCCTGGTGGTATTCAAAAATGAAAAATTAACAAATAACTTTTTTTGCCTTTAACAAGCATGATAGACTGGACCATATTGTGAATTAAACATGCTTGGCGTATGACTGACTGAAAGCAAACAGTATGTTCCACCCACCTGATGAATAGGTTGAATAAGAACGCAGTACTTCGGATGACTCTGGCAGTGTGACTTTCTTCATGTTGCGACCGAGACAATGTCAGCCCGTCGTCCATGTGACCTTCGTGGTGCATGAGGGCCTGGTGACAGCCAAAAATAATCAAGACAGGCATTAAAAACACTGACTTATACTTTGATAAAAGCATGCAAAATAAATACGGAGGAAATTAAAAAGATCATCTGATGTTTTATTTGATATTCCTCAAAAGGCATGGCAAAACATGATGTCACAGAATCTCTGACAGAAAATACTGCAAAAACTGAAATCTGAAGGCATTATGATGTAAGCATCATAATGCCTTGTGTATACAAAAAGAAAACAAAACAGAAAATGAATTCCCTTAACCATAACATTACCTTTCTTTGAACGTCACCGATGCGTGCAGATTTTGCATCGGCAGTCTGGTACGTGAGCCACAGACCAGTGTCGACATGCTGAATGTAACACACTGAGTCACCGTACTTAATGTCAGGGGTACCCATTCCATCCACTTCCTTTTTTACGCCAAGGTCAACCTTTTCCTAACAGAGAAAAAGACAGAGAAACATCAGCCCTTTGGAAAAAAAAGTGCAATTGAAGAACACAAAGCAAAGAATCCTTTCAAGTGGATGACGTGACAGTTTACGTACCTTGGAAGATTTGAAACAAAAAGCTGTCGATTTGACATCTGCTTTTTCTTTTTCCATAAGCAGTAATGATTTCTCCTTCATCAGACTCAGATACTTCCCACTAGTCACGTGTCTGAGTCTGAACGGCTGGCCCCAGCGAATATGACTACCGCTCCACCTGGACACAAATCCAAAATAAAGGAGAGCCACCACTTTGTCCCAGGAAATAGTCACCAGCAGTATGCTTTGACCACGTCCTTTTGGTTGGTTTTGTTTGTTTGCTTGTTTTAATGACGGAAGACTTTTTCTATGCAATTGTAGAGGTTGAGATTATTCCTCATGGTTCGCCCTATTGTGATGTATAGTGAATATGCGGTCTGAAAGAGGACACCGTTTTTTTCATCTTTGTGGTGTACAGTATTCAATCGAATATAAATTGAAAAGCATTTTCAAATCATTGTATTCTGTTTTATTTACATTTTTACACAATATCCCAACTTCATTTGAATCAGGGTTTGAACAGTAATTGATTGATTCAATACGATATGACAAATCACACAAAGTACATCATAACCAAACTAAAAGTGAGAAAACTAGAAAATAAAGCTGTATAAGTGAAAGAGAGAAATGGCAGAAGTGTTCCTTATGGGTCTCTTTTTCAACAAAGTGCAATAACTTAAATACGGTGGCCATTTTTTTCAAGATGGCCGCCAAACAGGCATCTCTCCGTTTTGTGCTTTTGCTCAAAAATAACTACAAATTGTGATCATAAATATGGTGGCCATTTTTTTCAAGATGGCCGCCAAACAGGCATCTCTCTGTTTTGTGCTTTTGCTCAAAAACAATAACTACAAATTGTGATCATTTGTCTGGAAAGTTCCTAATAAGTCACTTTAAAAGAAAAAAGTCCGAGCAAAATATCAATATGGTGGCTATAGTTTCAAGATTTCTCCATTAAAAACAACAAAAATACCTCTAGTAACTCAACAGTTAGATGTTGTTTTTGGCAGTTTTTTTGGGGGCGTGGGTGGGTGAGTCTAGATTCTATAATTTAGCCGATTGTAAAGTACTGCCCCTAAACATTTAACTTTGCTGGGATGGCAATGAAACTGAGCTTGTAAGAACAGATATAAAATTAGATCTCCGTACTGGGGTACCACAGAGGAGAAGGCAAATCATTCCACAGACAAATGCCGTACTTGTTAGAGCGTGACCTTTGGTGTAGAGAGTGTAATGGACATTACCGGTAATGGATAGGACACAAAAATGATGACACAAGGACTTTCACGGGGACATGATTCCCGTAAACCCTGAAATGTGTGTTTGTGCGGGCAGGGGTGGGAGGCAGAGCGTGTTCTGACAGAGTGATTCAGTGATAAACAGTCTTTGTATATACAGCAGTTCATTCAACAAAACAAGACAATATCTGGGATATTCCTGAAAAAAAAAAAAAGCCCAAAATGAAGGATTCACAATTCATCCTACCAAATGTCATGCTTATATCAAAAATTGCTCCATGGTTTCTGAGGAAAACCAAATAACAGGCGCCCATCCGGCGGCCATCTTCAAAAATGTCCTTCAAATTTGAAGAAAAAAAAAAAGTAATAACTGGCACTTTTTTCTGAAAAAGTGACTTTTAAGCAACACTAATGCCAAATACTATGCCAAGATCACAAAGTACATGATTCTATTCAAAATCCACATTTACCTGCTTCACGTTCTCAAAGCAGAGCGTCCATGTATCAAATTGCCTAATGCTTGAGTGTGACAAGTGGTCCATTTTTTTATTTAATTTAATTTTTTTTTTTGCGATGGACCATGCCACATCAGATTTCGACGCATAGCTCAGTGTATGGTGGCCGATATGAGATGAATAAGCATTTAGGCAACTGTTAATCCTGTTACAGAGTTTACAGTTTACATTCCTTACATTGACAGTGGTCCCAATTCAAGTTCTTTTTTTTTTTTTTTAAATGAGTGGTGTTCTGCTTCTTTGCCTTGAATCATCCACAGTAAATTTCATCCAGTACATTTTACTCTAAAAAGACCCTATATTTCCAAAACAGTCAATTTTGAGGGTAAAATATTCACAGTAAATTTTACACTGGAAAAAAAAACTGGAGCAATATTTACTTGAAAAAAAAAAAAAATCAAACTTGAAAAAGTTTTTACACTCAGGAATTCAAAGTAAATTTTTAAAGGGGAATTTTTGAATGAATTATACTTGCATAATATTAGTTAATGTAGAAAAAAAAAGTCACTCAACAGTTGAGGAACAGACACACAACCGAGCAGAGCAAAAAGCGGCCGTCTTCGCCGAGAGCCAAGCAGATTTCATATTTCGGCCGATATATCAGCTATCGCTCAATAGAGCTGATATCGGTCGATATATGTGATATTTTTGTTGCCCCCAATCTTGTTATCAGCCCCCAAAATCCCAAATCAGTCGGGCTCTAATATATACAGGACTACTGTATATCTATAATTGTGATCAGGTTATGAATGTGTTTGTTGTTAGGGACGTATTTACACTTCTAAACACTTACAGAACCCGTAGTGTCTCTAACCGCCACAGGGACCTGGCATGACTCGACACTGCTCCACCCTCATAATGCACTGTTCTGTTGATGAAAATAAGAATAATAATAATAATAATAAGTATCATACACTGCAGTTTGTCAACATTTTGAAATGTTCAAAAGACTCCTTTATGTCATTACTCTTTCGCATTAAAGAATTAGCAGTGTCATTGAGAGAACATTAATTTACGATTAAAGGTCAATATTTGGCAACACATTAAAAGAACTTTTTTGTAAGATCATGCATGGAAAAAGTGATGAAACAGCTAGAACTACTTATAACTAAAACAAATTGTAAAAAAAAACCAGCACAATATCACCTCAGTAAAAAGAAAACTAAGCAAGGTAAAACTATTAATATCATTTTCGCTCTCCGCTACAAATATCCTACATGGCTGTAAAAGTAAATTATTTTGCATGCACTAATTCAAGGTTCGGTGCTGTAACTTTTGTTTTATTCTCTTCTAACTATGGATTTCAATTGTATGTTTCATGATTAATTAGTCCTTCATAAATTAAATCGTCCTTCATAAACAGATGTTAGATAGTAGATTAAGGATGTAGGTTGTTTTTAGCTAAGAGGACTGCAAATCCCTTAATCCCTCAATTACGAAACAAAAAGTTTTTTGATGTGACACTAATATGTATTTGTTATCCATTACATCTGGGGTGTCAAACTCATTTTTGTCGCAGGCCACACTGAAGTGACAGTTTGGTTGATTCAACGATTGTTTAAGCAACTGTAATGTGGGGTAACAAGAAAATGCTTACAATATCTCTCTTATTTATTACATATGAGAAGTTGAGATTTTGGTCCAGATTTTAGCAATCATGATAGAAGTCAACATGTTTGGTTTGCTTTCGCGGGCCACATAAAATGACGTGGCGGGCCAGATCTGGCCCCCGGGCCTTGAGTTTGACACCATTGTATTACATGAACGTGATCATCTTCTGATGCAAAAAGATGCTTAAGAACTCCAAAGCCAACATGCTGTCTCCTCTTTTTTGTGCAAACAAGTCTGGAATTAGAGAGCTTGAGAAGCCATTTTTACATTTATGCTTTTAAAAAAGATTCCACTGCATTTTAATCACGGTCACTAATGATTAGTTTTAAGGATTTTTTTTTCAATATTATATTTTTTTTCCCACAAATAAAAGCACGTTGTCTCTACTAATATCTCCTTTTTCTGCAGCCAGAATCTGACCAGTTTTTAACCTCATCCTGTCACAATGACATGCCAAATGTTGGCGTGCCTCATTCTTTCAAGCATTAACGTGAGACAAATTTGATTTTCCTGAGAGTCCACATCTACCAAATTGAACTGAAAACCGCAACCAATATCACGTGATATGAACCTAACTGTGGATATTGCGGATCACCCCGAGTAGTTTCTATACTGAAGCAATAACAGTGATGACCACCCACCAGAAAAAAAAATCCTTTACATTACAGATGTACACGTGCATCTTACCTCTTCTGCTCCTCCCCGTGGTCTTCAGAAGGAACAGTTAAACACTCATCCATATGACCATGAAGGAGGCGCAAGACATCCCCGCCTATCAAGAAACCTGCAGAAAGGTTCGGAAAAGGTGGGGAAAGGGGGGGGGGGGGGGGGGGGGGGGGGTTAAGCAGAGAATGAAAGAAAAATGAATAAATGTATGGGGCGTACCACACACACATGACATCAGAGAAGCAGGAAGCCAGAATGCCTCGTCGACAATTAATTCCGATTTTATTTCAGTTATCTGGTTGGTGTTGTTGCTCTGTCATGGGGAGGATAGCAGAATCAAGTGAATTATTATAGCATTAATTCTGACATGGACATTGCGCTTTTGAAACCAACAGCTGGTAAGCATGACCCATGACTGAGTCACGTTGGCTGATATCCAATCTCCCAAAACAAGCCATCCATTAATTCTGTTTAACGCTTGTTCAAATGTTTTTTGGGGTTTTTTTTGTAACTAATAACCTAGAATAACAAAGCAGTAATTAGATGAAATTAAATGAATTTTCTCTGCTTTGCTATTTATGTTCTGTGTGGACGGTAATTAGAATGGTGTACCGAGGACCTTGTGCTTGTGTGTTACAATATAAATCCTAAAATGGGCATATGAGAGTCATTTTCATGGATATCGTTTACTGGGAGAAAAATTATGTCAGTCCTGCATGCCTATTAGCTCCTGATAGTAAAAAGGCCCTAAGAGGGCAGCGAAACTGGTATCGGACGTTGTCAAAGGGTTGCAATCCATGGGAAACGTTTTTTTTTTGTGCACTCCATGTATCAACAGTCTTATTTGTCAGTGGAAACTGGCTGAGATCCAGCACTACAACACACAAAATGAATGATGATCCATTACACAGTGATCTAAGCTTGCCTTTGCATCGCCTTGTGCTCTGGCCGAAATAAAACAGTGCAGTGTATCATGTAAAGTGATCAACAAAGAGTGATGGAAAAAGATTTCCGTACCTTGTGCCACTTCACTGCCGGAACAGATGGGAGTAACGGTCCACAGCGTCTGTTGGAAGGCGGCATCTACATTTTGACACTGATTGCCATAGGATAGATGCTAGAAGAACACAAACACATGAATCAAAATTCAGATACATTTTCCCTAAATATGCAATTCAGTTTACACTAAATGTTTTTTTTTTTCCCACATTTTGTTCAATAATAACCTCAAGGCCATTTTTTTTTTGGTCTGTGTGTAGCAGTGAGCCTTAAAGTTGAAAGAGACATAATGCCCCAGGCGTGGTCTCCCAAGGCAAAAAAGGTTGTTGGTGAAGGACAATACAAAGTAAAGCGCAGTAGAGTTAAAAAAAAAAAAAAAAAAAAGACAATGGGCAATTGTGTCCATGCGATATTCCCATATTCTGATACAGACACACACACCAAAAAACGTCATGATGCATAAAACTTTGAGATATATTCTGTGGGCCGATTAAACACAAGTTGCAGTTTTTGTAATGTGTGTACCATCTTCTGTAAAAATAACACTGCATTTGATAGAATACCGTGCCATTCATAAACATGTTGGAGGCAGTGCGGAGGTCTGGGGCTGCTTACTGCTTCAGGACCTGGACAACGTTGTGATTAATGCAACAATGAATTCTGCTGTCTGACACAAAATCCTGCATGTGAACTTTTACCCATCAATCAGGCCCTCTTGCTCAAGCGTTTATTGTTAGTGCCTCTTTCAAAAAGATGCATTCCCTTTTCTTTTTCAATTGTGTTGGATAGGTTTCGGTCATGTGAGTGGTGATTCCAATTTTGTAACATTTTCCAAGGTTCCAATCTTTTATATTGCAAAAACCCGGCAGCATCTAAAATAAATGTGTCGACTTCGTTCTCGCAACGGTATATTTGAGCTTCCTCGTCACGTATTTTGTGTTCCCACATGCAGAAGGCAATTACCAGATATCTCTCAGATGAGATGCTGACAAGAATGAGATCATCCCCCACTCTAACCTTCTCCCCCTCGGAACGTTGCTTTGATGCTGGATGAATGGTCCACCAGCATGCCTCACCTGAACATAAAGAAGGTCAAAACATGACTCACAAAAAGATTTTGTTCAATATTATACCCCGTCATCATTCAGTTATGTCATTGCGAATACAAAAGCCAATGATTCATTGAGAGCTGGCTAAATATTTATTTAAACTTGAATCAAAGGGAGAAATCGATGTGAAAAGATTTATTTAAAACTCAACCAAAGAGAAAGGTGATAAAAGATTCATTTTCCGCAAATACCTGTAGTGTCTTCCTGCAGCCCCACATCAAAAGCTAATTTGTCTGTGGACGATCGAGAGGTGGATAGACAACACAGGTACTGCGCACAAACACAATATCCACAATCAATGCGTGTATTCATCCGAAACATGAAAGAACAAAAGGTCACGGGGGGTGGGAAATGTCACGCGGGAATTCTAGC